GGGTAACAAACAAAGATAAAACCAGGGGAAATAACGACGCTGAAGACGGGGGGGTTGAAGTCAGGGGTGATGAAGTCAGAGGTGATGAAGTCAGGGGTGGTGGAGTGGCTGAAGCAGAGACAGGGGGGGCAGTCGAAGGTGAGACCTGAAGAGGGGACTCTGCAGGTGGTAATGCATTGGAGGAACACATCGAGACCAAGGGCGACACAGCAGCTGCGGTGGCCGTGGATGCCATGGAGGAACACACCGAGACCAAGGGCGACACAGCAACTGCGGGTCAAGTTGTTCCCACGGAATCAATCGTAGAAGCAACCAAGGCCGATGAGGAAGTGGCTGCGAACCGAAAAAGGGCAGCCAGGGTCACAAACGACATGGAAGGGGTTACTAAGACTGATGAGGATGTTGCAGGTGCGACGAACACAGGTAATGAAGAAGAGGCTGCGATAGGTGTGACAGGCGCCGGTAATGAGGAAGGGGCTGTGACCGGCATAGTCCGAGGACAGTGTGTGGATACCTGAGAAAGCGGGTGCTGAATAGACCATCGAAGCATGGTGCGGAACCAGCTGGAGAGGTGCGTCACGTGCGCAGGGTACCTGTGTTGACGTTTATGAATATAGGAAGTCCATCCTTTCACAAGCGTTGTTGGAGAGTGCCCGCGAAAAATCATGCGGCGTGTGAGCATCGCTGCTGGAGTTTTGAAATCATAACAATTGTTGCAGACATACTCAAAACTAGTTAGCTGGCTTGTAAACACTCTCGCCGGCTGGTGTGCAGGGACGTTAGGCGTAGCACTAGGATAACGAATAACAGGGAAATTCCATTCAGCTGCTTTGTCAAAGACACTCATACGCAGGGAACCGTCAGGGTGGACTTGAAGGCGTGGACCCAAGAATGTTCAAGAGCCATCAGGCGCTGTGGTCTCCTTCCATTCGAGGCCATAGTGCTCTGACGGGTGTGGCAGATGTCCCCATGAGAGAACATCATCGATCAAGCGGTATGTGAACGCATACCGTTGAGCAGCGCGAAGATCACGCCGCTGGAGGTCATCAACAATCGAGCCTCATCCCAGTACAATGTCAAATTAGTTATCTCCGGACCAGAATTAGTTCCCATCGGGATGCCAATCAGCTGATGTCGCAAGGTGCTGTCCACTGCATAAAGATACGTGTTTGTGACAATGAAATGGAGATATTCAAGAATTTGGGAAACAGTCAAGGTGTTCGGTCCGGTATCAACCGTCCACTCCCCTTGATACGTGTTTGTGACAATGAAATGGAGATGTTCAAGAATTTGGGAAACGGTCAAGGTGTTCGGTCCGGTATCAACCGTCCACTCCCCTTGACGGGCCCCTTTAACAATCATGTTAAGGGTAGGAGGATGTGTGCGCCCCTGTGTGAGAGAGAGAGAGAGAGAGAGAGAGAGAGAGAGAGAGAGAGAGCATGGGCAGTGATCTGTGATTACGGGCCTGCACGGGCTTGTCTCGTTCACCAGGGCAAGAACGGGGCAGGCGTTGACCTTCAGGGGAAAGAAAAGGTTATATTCGAATACAACAATTTTCTCTTCGTGAAATTAAAATATAACGCATATGCATATTATTTGAATAGAACGCATATGTGTTATATTCGAAGTGCCCTTGTATTCGAAGAAAAGGGAACTTTCCGAAAACCGTTTTTTTTTGGAAAACTCGAATACAATGCATATGCGTTATGTTCGGGGGAAGACGGTAGTGGGCTGGTGGCTGGCTGTACTGCAAGCCTGCCATTTGACTGGTGGATGGTCCTGCACTAGTCCCACTGGATGAGACAAAGGACATAGCGGAAGCTCCTGATGTCTGCTGACCTTGAGAGGTCGCTGCAGAAGCGGCCATAGCTTCAGCACTAGCTGCAGCTTCTGCTAAAACACGCTCCGCAGCTCCTGCTGCCTCCCTATCTGTCTCCAAACGCTGGGCCCTTGCTTCGTCCCGGAACCGTCTCTTGTCGCCTGGTAGCAGAACCTGAAACACTGCCGGAATTCTTCGTGTATGCTCTCATCATCCCACATATATCCCCTGTTGCCACAGCCTTCCAGTGATGTTCCCCCCTATCTGGGAGTCGCCTAAACAAGCCAGTGTCAATGTATCCTCACTGCGTAGAAGCGTCGTCAGCGCACCGAGTAACAAAGTCAGCAGTGCCGGTAATGGCAATATCGAACCAGCTCTGATACCAAATTGCAAGGAATATGAGCAAGAGTGATAGACAGAAATCCAAGTTGCAAAATCACGAAGTAGTCCAGATAGTCATGTACCAAGCCGAGAGCACAATGCACCAATATACCATCCAAATAAGAGCAATACAATGAACTGAAGTGCCAATGCCGACACTCTCTGGTCACACCAACGCTGTATCCAATGCCACTCCTACTGTCTGGCGTCCAGCACCCAGCGTATATTACTCAGCCTAACTAGCCTATCTATGTTCATGCGACTGGATCACATCGAAGTCGAAGACCAATGTACGTGACGACAAAACCAGTGCCGACCACCAGCATACACCAGGTACGTTCTCTCTCCTCTCCTCATCACACATTGACCACCTCTGCATGCGTCTCCTACCCGAAGACCACCATCGCCATCACCTGCCTGCGCCCCTGCAACCCAGCTATGGCTGCTGTGCGCCCACTGCCTCTGCATCGCCCCTCACCTCAGTGCCTGTGCGTGCGTCCGAGCAGCAGTGCCCATGCAGACACCAGGGCAGCAACGCAGCAGCGTGTCCACTTTGCCTGCCAAGGCGAGAATGCCTTCTCAGGGAGCACACACGTTCCTTTATGGAAAGTGTCTGCCGCTGGCTGGTCTGGCCAGGCTTGTGAGGGCCCAGTAGCTTGCCTCTGGCCCCAAGTGTCTGCGCCCAGGCCCAGTTTCAGATACTGGCCTGGGCCTCGTGCAGCTAGGCACGTCCAGGCAGCCACCCAGCCTCCAAGTGTTTGCAGCATTCTTATTGGCTTGTGCCACATTTGTGACGACAATGCTGCTTCCTCATTGCCTTGTAACCAGTCCGTGATGTGTCTGCCCCACACAGCGTGTACCCAGGGTGCAACCACCTGCGCCCTGGGCCTAACTGTACAGCGCACCCCTTTGCTTCTGGAAAGAGCCTGGAGGCTCACGTTGCTCTGTAACCAACTGGCGTGCTGCAACTGTCTGACTACCCACATATGGAAAAATGTTGAAAACAGGCCTCACGTGGATATTCAGGCCTGCCTTCACTTAGGGCGGGCACGGGCTTGCGGGGGCCCACATCCCAGAACACTTGCTGTCTGATAAGGGCTCCGTGAGGCTCATTCCTCGCACCTCCACGCAGGCCGTGGAGGTCTCCTGGCCCAGAAAAAATGAGACCGGGTTCGGTAGGCCCGCCAAAAAGGCTTGAAAAAGGTGGCTTATCTGGACCGCCGATCTCAAGAGATTGCCAGCCTAGATAGGCCACCCTTTTCAAAGTTTTTGGGTGGGAAGTACCGTCCCAACCCTGCCACTAACACCCCTACCCCCCTTTTCAAAGTTTTTTGGGCAGAAGGTTAACGTTTGCAGAATGTCTGCTGAAGCCCGTGCCTGCTGAAACCCCACCACTAACACCCTCACCATAACCACCGACCCCCAACCCCTGAAATAACCCCCTCCCCCCCCAAACCCCCCAAACAAAACTTCTTTGTTCAAAGTTTTCTTTGCAGATTCGGGGAGGTCTCGGCAAGCGCAGTCCAACCATGTTTTCATAAAATAAAATAAAATAAAATAAATTTGGCCCACTTTTGGGCCCAACCGGAATTCCGGTTGGACCACCGGAGGTCCAACCGGCCAGGTTGGATCCAGCCCGGTCCAATCGGACGGTTGCCGGCACAGCCTAGATTCAATTTGTTTTTCTGTTTTGCCCTTGTGCGTCAGCCACGAATGCTCGAATATAAAGTGGCTTCTGGAAGGATGCAGTGCACAGACCGGCTTGCTGGATCAGATGGCTTCTGGAAGGGTGCAGTGGCTTCTGGAAGGGTGCAGGGCCGACTGGTATAGGGGGTATGGGGGGGTATAGAGGTGGTACAAGGGGTATTTGGGGGGCATAATGAGGGCGTTGGGGGGCGGTTTGGGGTTGTTCAGGGTGTGTATGGAGGTATTGGGGGCAGGTATCTCTTACGAGGAGTTTCTTTCATATGTCAAGGGCTGGACTGTTCTCACGCGAAGCGTGCAATACTCCAGGTAGACCGAACATTCAAGAGTGCGACTTGGGTTATAGAAGGTGACATTACCATAGCCTGGCGGTTGCCTCACAAGGTTATTCCAGGAATTCTTTCAGAAGAAACTGCTTGTAGAAAATTGGGGTTATTAGGGGTTCTGGACCCTCCCTTTTTTTTTTGCGGGGTGCCAACGACCCCCGATCGGCAGGTGCCGACCAGTCAAGCGCTGCCGACCTTTGGGGTATGCAACACTGCGTTGAGTGTTTAAAACCTCTCAACTACCGTCTTCACGCAAATAGAACATGTGGTCATTATCACAGTATCTAGACCGGAAGTTGCACCGGATGCAGCTATAATGACCGGGCGTTATATTCGGGTGAAAGGAATATTCGTTCCATGGCCTGTGTTTTGTGAACCAACTCGGCTGTATTGACGTGACTGTATCAATGTGGCTGTACCAAATTGTTTTGTGCACTGATCTGTGTCTGGTCTGTTGTTTACCAACCCTTTTTTCCCCCCTTTTTTGAAGAAAGTGTTCCCATGTTTTCTTTTCTTTTCTTTTCTTTCCTTTTTTTTCCAAGCGTCCTGCCTCCTATGAGACCCTTCCCACTGTTCCTCTCGTCACTTCTCCCTACTGACCGTGCGAAGATGGCTGTACAAACTGGACTATGCCAACTTGACTGTATTATCTCGAGTGTATCAAATCATTCTGTGTATCAGCTTAACTCAGTTAATGGTGAGTTAGACTGATTCCCCATCTCTGTGTGATTTTGCGTGTGATGCTCTAAAAAATGACCTCTATGTTGCAGGTGTATGCTGGGGACCCGCTGCGAGACCTATCGCTTGCTGTGTTCTTGGACAGATTTGTGGAGAAGAAGCCTAAAAATCTGAAAGGAAGGCTGAGTGTCAACTCAAGATCAGCATTGCTGCAACTTGCTCAGAAAAAAGAGCTGGCTGTAAGAATCTCTCCCATCGTCTGTTCCCATAATTTTGTCTTTTGTATGTTGGCTATGGCGATAGATAGGATCCCATCCATCAAGCATTTTTGCTTGATGATGACCGTGCTCATGTGAGGATGTCTGTGTGGATGTTCATGACCATGGGGTGGGTGCACGATTGTGCACATCGATGCGTTGTCGTCCGGTCTCGTGGCTGAACATGTCTGCAGCAATGTATGCCGATTTCAAAAAATTTGCTTGATGATGGCCATATTCATGTGAGGATGTCTGTGTGGGTATTCATGACCTTCGGGTGGGTGCATGATTGGGCACGTCGATGTGTTGTTGTCAGGTCTGGTGGCTGAACATGTCTGCAGCAATGTATGTCGATTTCAAGCATTTTTGCTTGATGACGGCCATGTTCATGTGAGATGTATGTGTGGATATTCATGACCGTGGCGTGGGTGCACGATTGTGCACATCGATGCGTTGTCGTCAGGTTTGGTGGCTGAACATGTCTGCAGCGATGTATGCCGAAGGCACGTCTGGGTAACATGAATGGTCAGAGATCGTCACACACAGTCTGGATTGAGGCTGGATACCTGAAATGAGGAAACCTACGAATTGTCAGGTGTCTCTGTCCAATGACACCTAGCTTTGTCTGAATGTGCGCCACTGTAGAATATATACAGTTGGTGAGTTTGTCCGCTCTTTTCCCTCTGGAACACGATCTAGCGGCTTTGCGGAGGGAGGGCAACCTATTGAAAATTTCCAAATCTTGCGCAGAACTACAGGAGGTTTTCAATAGGACTCGTCACATTGTGGTAGACATACTAAGGTATCGTGGACCGCACACTATTTGAGGCCTACGAGACCTCTAGGACCCTCCGATGCAGCTTCCATGTAACATTGGAAGGTGCTTGCTTCTATCGGTGGTTTAAACCACGAATACTTCCGAGCCTCTTTCTCTCAAGTATCAAAACGCCTTGCGCGCCCAAAAAGAAATGAACCGCCGTGGGCCCCCCTTTTGGCTGGCTCTATCAGCCATATTGCCTTGGTAGGCTGACCTGCAAAACTGGCGAGAGAAGGTTAACAACAGTCGTATTTTTCATAACCACATCAAGACACCCTTCACCGCTTCAGGATGCAGTCTGCCTAAACAGGTGGTTTTCAAGGTCTTCGGACCTTTCACCACTTCAGGACCATTCAGGATTTTCAGACTGCCCAAAACTTTCACTTCACTTCTTCAAGATGCAGCCTGCGTAAACAGGTGGTTTTCAGGGTCTTCTGACCTTTCACCACTTCAGGACCATTCGGGATTTTCAGACTGCCCAAAACTCTAATTTTCATTCATGAATTTTAAGCTACCCGTTAACCGCTTGTGAAACTGGCGGCGAGCTAACTGCCACGTTAGAGAAATATGGGTGGGCCAAGTACTGGTGGCTTAAACCACAAGTACACGGCCCCACCCCAGCCTTGCAGTCTGAAACTTGTTGCCACAAGAAAACGAGGCCGAAACGTCAAACAATGGGCCCGCCGTTGATAAATCCGATCAGTGGTCACATTTTCATTTCTCGCCTCCAGAATTTGAGGAGTCAGGCCTGCGGCCCAGGTGCCCATGTACTGGTGCTTTAAGGTGTTACAATCCTGCCCGATTTCGAAGTATGCAATCATCAGAAAGTACAATGCTGTCCAATTGCAAAAAGAAATGAATGAACTTGAGAGGAGAGAGAGGGAAAGAAGAAGAAGAAGAAGATGATTTACTCCAGCATAGACCAAAGATAATGCTCTTCTTCTCCGCCAATCAATCTCCTCCTCCTTATCTCCTCCCCTCTTATTCAAACAAGAAATAATAATAATAATGTTGAATGGCTGAACCAGAATCAATGTTCGAATCCCTTTTCTACTGCAGGCACAACATGAGGTCCAACATAGCCATGGCCACCCTTCTCCTTCCTCTCACATGTAGGCCGAGGCTACGGCAAACTACTGAGGGCTAAACCCTCCTGTCCAACGGACCACCGAAAGCAACTATGTCACCGCCTTCCTGTGCAAAGGACAACGCGAAGCAGCTACGCCGCTGCTCATTAGGCCGCCATGCCTGTCTCTGCCCCGAGCTTCCTTGGTCCGGCACTACCCCAACTGGGGCCTTCCAGATGCAGCGCCTATCAAGCTGATGAAGATGGTGTCCACCATAGCCAGGTAGGTACCTCGCCACTCTCCTCCTTGGTCCCTTTCTCCCTCCTCCTCCTACCAGTAGAGCTCCACCATAGCCAAGGTGGAAGCTCCCGGCTTCTTCCTCCCAGCAGCGCTCTAGTAGCCAGCACCCCTCCAGCCAGCGCTCCAGCAGCGTGTCGCCAAACTTGCTTACTGAAGAATGAGGCCGGGCTCTTCCCTCGGCCTCTTAATATAGCGGCCTACTTGCCTCCTTGGTGGTGAGTTCCAGGCCGCTCGGCCTCCCAAGCAACCGGTACCTCCTCCGTTTCGGAGGGAAACATCATTGCAGACTCTGATATTGCCTGTACAGGCTCTAGAGTCAGACTGGATGGACTGGTACCGGCCTAGACCTAGCCTACCGCTACTGGGCCTATAAAAATGCCAACTTTGTGTTCTTCTGCTTGGCCTCGAGTACCCGGCACATCTACTGCTACTGGGTGCGGTACCGGGCTACCTGCTACTTGAGTGTTTTTCCGCTGCTCCAAGTACCGCGGGCCCCTGTCTCCGCTACTCAAGTATTTTCCCTGCTGCAATCCTCAATATCACGGCCACATTTAAGTACCGGCCGTACGGGCCTCCCAAACAAGCAAGTACCCTTGCGGGTCACACACACACTCGCGCCGACAAACACTCAGACAGGCACGCAGGTCAGCAAGCACGCACACATACAGACTTCGAAAACTCAGCAGAATGAGGGAATCTCAGCAAGGCATCCATTCCATCGGCAGAACTTCAGAAATCAGCAGTGTTTTCAGTCTGTGTTATGGCGAGTCATTACAAAGCGAAATCCTTCCGAGTTAGAATATGAAAAAAAGGAATCCCTCTCCGGAGTTGCATGGCAACTACAGCTGTCCTGACTTCTGTCCTAAAAATGTGGGACACTCTAGCATAGTCTCTTCCTGTTCTAGGACAAGAAGAACCTATGTCATGGTAAGACATTTACAATTAATGGGTATTGCAAGTCAGCCATTGAGTTTATTGGCACTGCTTCCCAGCTTCTGTCTCTCGGGGTGGTGGTGGTCGATAATGTATCATAGGTGAGGAGATACTAGGAGATAGTCTTTACTGCTCAAAAGTGAGCTTGCCAAGAAATGGAAGACCTAGAGATTGCTCACACTGCTCAAACCTGAGCCCTTCAACAAATGGAAATGAAAAAAAAAAGAAAAAGAAAAAAGAACTGGTTTGCACATCTGGCAGGGTCATTTTCCCTCTCTTCCTCCCCCCTGCCTCCACCACTGGAGCTCACGCAAAAAGTATACGCGCTACATGAATTAAAGTTTAGTCTTGTGTGGTTCCTATAGAACTTTGTTTGTACTCGAAAGCCACTCTGCTTTTTGTTTCTTCATCATTCTCACTCTATGTGGTCAATGATGGGTAACATTTTGACAACTAGAGAAATAAATTGAGAAGTCGAGAACTAAATTAGGGGTGTGAGAAGTGGCGGGTGCCGATCAATACCTCTGAAACGTTTCTCAACCTCCCGTGTCGTTCTGTCTGTCTGTGTGTGTGGGTGGGTGGGTGTGGGAAGCGGCGGGTGCCGATCGATACCTCTTAAAAAAATTTTAACCTCCCGTGTCGTTGTGTGTGTGTGTGTGTGTGTGTGTGTGTGTGTGTGTGTGTGTGTGTGTGTGTGTGTGTGTGT